AATTACAACATCAACCCAGATGAATTTGAAGAAACTAGACAGTAAGCGAGGAAAATATATGAAAAGGATCCAAAATATGTAGGGGTCCAATTCAAGTTGGTTACCCTATCATATAATCAACGATAACATTTCTAGATAAATTCTCTCAATTAATGATTAGAGAGATTAATTGAAAGAATATCAATCAAAGATTAAACAGATGCTTGTTACTACTTCCTCCATGATCACAGAATGTGAATTATGGCATAATAACATATTTTTCAATGTGCACAAATAAATTAAATTAATAAAAACTGTACAAGCAATTATTTTGGCGTACCACGACAATTGTTAAACTAATTTTAATCTGTGAATATTGTGAGTACTTACACAACGGTTATTAAGGAGTCATTAAAAAGTGCTATAAACGCTTCTCACCGCTTGCTGTATAGTGATTATTTAGGAGTCATAAAAGAGTGTAACAAACGCCTCTCAGGTTCAATCTCTAATACATTTCGAAGCAGCTGTTAGGAGGTGTCTACAAACGTTGTATTAGAGCTTTCACCAAAACAATAAAGCTTGAGTTTAAATATGTATCTATAAACGTTGTATAAAAGTTGCTTCTATCCGGTTGTTAAGGAGTCATTGAAAAGTGTTATAAACGCTTTTCACCGCTTGCTGTTCAATTAATATTTAGGAGTCATAAAAGAGTGTAACAAACGCCTCTCAGATTTCCTCTCTACTAAATTTCAAAGCAGCTGTCAGGAAGTGTCTAAAAACGTTGTATAAGAGCTTTCACCAAAACAATAAAGCTTGACTTTAAATATGTATCTAAAGGGTGATACGGTCAAAATTTGGTCAAGGGAAAACGCGTGTAAATCGGTGAAATCGTTTATTTAAAAAATCAAATTAAATTTCTTTTTCAAGTTCAATTAGTATAAAATTCAGGAAAAATATTCAGTTAGGCTTCCGCTTTTCCAAATCCGAATTGCCGGGCCTTACGCTTGACCCCTGCCATCAGATTTTGTACAGCCACCTTGTCCACCTTCTTCGCCGCAGAAAGCCAGTTTGCCTTGAACTGCTGCTCGCCCTTAGCAGTTTTTTTTGGTCTTCTTTAGGTTCCGCTTGACAATAGCCCAGTATTTCTCAATTGGGCGGAGCTCTGGCGTGTTGGGAGGGTTCTTGTCCTTGGGAACCACCTGCACGTTGTTGGCGGCGTACCACTCCATGGCCTTTTTACCGTAATGGCAAGATGCCAAATCCGGCCAAAACAGTACGGAACAACCGTGTTTCTTCAGGAAAGGCAGCAGACGTTTATTCAAACACTCTTTCACGTAAATTTCTTGGTTGACAGTCCCGGAAGCTATGAAAATGCTGCTTTTCAAGCCACAGGTACAGATGGCTTGCCAAACCAGATATTTCTTTGCGAACTTTGACAGTTTCATGTGCTTGAAAACATCTGCTACCTTTCCCCTTCCTTTTGCCGTATAAAACTCCTGTCCCGGAAGTTGCTTGTAGTCGGCTTTGACGTAGGTTTCGTCGTCCATTACCACGCAGTCAAACTTCGTCAGCATCGTCGTGTACAGCCTCCGGGATCGCGCTTTGGCCGTCGTATTTTGTTTATCATCGCGATTTGGAGTCACTACCTTCTTGTAAGTCGATAGTCCGGCTCGTTTTTTGGCTCGATGCACGGTTGTAGACGATACACCCAGCTTATTTGCGGCATCTCGGAGAGAGAGGTTAGGGTTTCGCTTGAAACTACCGGCAACTCTCTTTGTCGTCTCAGCGGCTTCCGGTTTTCGATTTTCCCCCGATCCAGACTTCCTGGCTGTCGACAAACGTTCCCCAAACACTTTAATTACATTTGTAACGGTTGATTTGGCAACTTTTAGCGATTTTGCCAACTTTGCGTGCGAGTAGCTCGGATTTTCGCGATGCGCGAGCAAAATTTTAATACGCTGCTCTTCTTGCTTAGACGGCATTTTGACAACTGAAGAGTGAATTCCAAAATCAAAATGGGAGCAACATTCTTCACACACACACCTTCAAAATGAGGGGTGTTCAGGTTTTTTAAATGCAAAATTGAAAGAAATACGTCAAGTTGATATTGACCAAATTTTGACCGTATCACCCTTTATAAAAGTTTTTTTTTTTTTTTTTTTTTTTTTATTAAGGAGACTTTTAGCCGTTGGCTGGCTCGTCTCCGAGTATAAAAGTTGCTTCTATCCGGTTGTTAAGGAGTCATTGAAAATTGCTATAAACGCTTTTCACCGCTTGCTGTACAATGATTATTTAGGAGTCATAAAAGAGTGCAACAAACGCCTCTCAGGTTTACTCTCTACTAAATTTCAAAGCAGCTGTCAAGAAGTGTCTACAAACGTTGTATAAGAGCTTTCACCAAAATAATAAAGCTTGAGTTTAATATGTATCTATAAACGTTGTGTAAAAGTTGCTTCTACTCCTATACCGCGTATACATATAATGCTGTAGTTGAACAGGTTCTCCAAACCAGTGTAAACAAGAGTTTTACAGAAGTTGTAATAAACAAATTGTACAGTTATTATTCAGCATGCAGTTGAATAGAATCACAATGGAAGCGTTTCTTCAACAAGAAATTGATTTTGGGTAAAGGTTTTACAGAATACGTTAGACAACACCTTTGTGTTGCAGTTGTATAGGTTCTCCAAACCAGTGTAAACAAGGGTTTTATAAAAGTTGTGGTGAACACATTGTGCAATTATTATTCAACATGCAGCTGAACAAAATCAAAACGAAAGCGTTTCTTCAACTGGAAATTGTTACTTGGGACGTTATTGTCTCTGTACCAATACAACGTCGTTCGCGCGTAATGGCATGATGCCAGGTCCGGCCAAAATAATGTCTCGCCTCCGTTGAACCGCAGGAAGAAAACAGACGCTTCTGGAGGGTCTCGGTGCGGTAAATTTTGCTGTTGATGTACAGTTTACTCAGTTTACCGCATTGGCATATGGCCTGCCAGAGCAAGTATTTTTTGGTGAATTTGTCCACTTTCTTCTTCCTTATGTCTTTCGGAACATCAAACCGTGATTTGGCAACGTAGAACTCCAACCCTGGTTCTGCTTTGCGTCTGCCTTGATGTAGGTTTCGTCATTCATAACCACACACATCGGTTTCGTTAACCACTCTCGATACAGCTTCTTTGCGCGAAAAATTCCTAGACTGGACCGGGAATCGAACCCAGCCACCTCCAGCATGGTCTTGCTTTGTAGCTGCGCCTTTACCGACTGAGCTAAGGGAGGCCTCGTGTAAAAATAATACTTTCTAAGTGTGTATATAGATAGATAAACGGATAGAAATCTCCTTATACCTTTTGGCAAATTTCTATTGCTGATTATTCATAAAATGTATAAGTCAACTTATAAGCAGACGCCTTGCAAAAAGTTAATGAAGATCATATGTCAAATGAAATGTATAAGCGGTCACACATACATTTTATGCATTCATATACGACCTATGTGGTTTGTCTTACGGACTGTATTAGGCTGATGTTTTGGCAAAAATGTATAAGTGAAACACATGAATAAAATAATTGATTTTCGTTTCGTGTAGATAGATTACATCACATATTACTGTTACATCCACTCTTAACCTAACTCGGAGCGTTTGGTACGGTATGTCCACGCATCCTTCCACCCCTGAAGATTAATGAAATGCATCGCAGTTTAAATATATTTATTTAAACTCGAATCATTTTACAGAATTATCTTTGCGGCAAATGCAACGCAGTAGGCCTGGCCGTTTTGATGTTTGTGTCATATCTCAGATATGCTGCAAACATCAATGTTGACAAGAAAAATGATAAGTTCTTATCTAATGTCGTTTCCTTTTTTACTACACTACACCGGTGTAGTGTAAGCAGCAATAAGCGCGAGTCATTGACAGCTCATCATTATTTGTTTGTAAACAAAGGTGCAACCGATAGCTACACCTCGATTTTTTTCGATGTACGGCGGTGTAGTACCGGTTTAGCTACACCGCAAAAACGAAAACGACATAACCTAATCAATTTTCTAGGATGGTTTTTCGTACTGGCTGCGTTTGTATTAGATTAGATTAGCTTAGATTATAGTGCCGAGATGAGTGAAAAGAACTTACTTTAGGGTACTTTTTTGTTACCGTGTCGATTCTTTTCAGAGAAATCGATTGTGGAGAATATACTTATGTTATGTCTATCGAACTAGAAACTTTATCGAAAAGGTAAGTAACTCCTAATTTACTGCCAATAGTATCAAAATCGTATCAGCATTATCTTTTCAGAACTATCCTTACAGTAAAGAGGTTGAATAGGGTCACGAATGATTCCCGTACAAGAGAGAAAGCAGTAATGCAATATTTATAGCTATATTTTTTATTTTTTTTTTGTGATAATCTGTTTTATAAATTAAAATGTAGACATTCGAAATAAAAATGATTTTTTTTTTAACAAATTAGTGTGATAAATAGCAAAAAAACCAATAAAAATGCCACACTAATCGATATGATTGACAATACACTTACGAGTGTAGGGCGTTTGAAAATTATGTGTCATATTTCTTAGATCAACAAACGGAACACATGGAAACCGCATGTATCGCAAGTGTTTTCATAGTGATCAGAAATAGTTCATATCAAAACATTCACACTTGAAATGCAATTGTTTGGCAAATTGAGCAAATTTTGATGTGAAACACTTGGGAATGACGTGTAATTTTTTATGAGTGTACTCAGAGAGTGAGTCACTATTACTCAGCGATAGTCACTATCAGCGATTTTATCAATTTTCACTCATTCACTCATTCAGCGATCATAAAATCGCTGATTGTGTCTCGTAGAAAGTAAAGTTGGCAGGTTTTATGTGTCAAACCCATACTTTGGAACCTCTTCTTGTAAATTACAAATAAAACATGTGATCATAACATCTTTTGGTTTCATAATTCCGAAAAAAAAAATAGTTTTAACTGAAATGAGTATTTTCAACCCTGCATGTATTCAATCCAATTATTTCAATCAGCTCCATTTGTACTAGAAGCAATCGGTTCATTTGATTGTATGGTTCCATTTTTAACACCATCATTTTTTGTCATCACCGTATCAACTTGAGCGTTGATCTCACCTGAAAAATGAAGAAAATGGAATCACAGCATTTAGAGCAAAATTCAAATCTCCAAAATACCTACCTTTCATATTTCCAAACAGCAATTTTTGCAACGCCGAAACGGGTAACTCCAAGGCGAGGCACATACACAAAGCCATCAGGTACGAGAACACCAACGAAGCGATGGTTACCACCGTCTGAAAAGGGTTATCAAAGTCAAATCGCTGCTTATCAAAGTTCAAATGGCCTCATTAGAAACGCCGAACTCACCGATCCAATGTGATTGAAGTGAATCGCCGACCGAGTACTTAGCACAAACAGTCGCATCACTAGCACATGAATCAGATAGGCACTGTACGTCAATCGGCCCAGCGGGTCAAACACCCGATGGTGGAAGATGCGTTTCAGCGTCGGTGCCACGCCATTCACGAATCCGATCAGGAACAGTCCGCTGAAAATGCCCCAGGTGTACTTCATGACCGGGTAGTAGATCGCCATCCAGAGCGACGGCTTCTCGAAGTCGTTCACGTAGAAAATGTAGTGTACCAGCAGACTTCCGATGCCCATCGGGATGATCAGGTTCCACAGGATGCGGAACCACTGAGGTGAGATAGATTGTGTTAGAATAGAAGAAAGTGTGTCTAGAAATGTTTTGAAATACCCTGTTCTGAACAGGATTAATCTTGTTCTTCTGCAGATGGAGATAGACGAGTCCGGTTATTATACCGGCCAGGTAATTTCCTAGATTCATGTGTAGTGGGATGTAGGATTTTTGGTAATATTGATCGAACCACAGTACGAATCGCTGGGCGCTGAAAATTGATTTCAATTTTGTGAAACGGGATTGCAATTTCATCGAGCGAACTTACTGTGGCGTAACTAGGAATACTCCTTCCAGTTGCTGGAAGTAGATGAACAATGCAGGAATCAGATACGCCAAAAAGACAGCTACCGAGAGGATCCAAACTGTGTATTTCCGAAATCTAATGATCAGAATCAGTAGTAAACTGCCCAGCAGGAACAGCTGGTAATCGCATCCGAGGTACCATCCTTGCTGAACGCACTGGAAAGTCATTTGAAAAATTAGCTGTTTGAAATCTACCTTGTACGAGTAGAACATACAGGTTGATCCGCATTGACGTAGTTGTTGATGTACAGCAAATTGGTCCACCAGTTCCGCCGGCAGAAAGTACGCTCGGTTTCCACGCCGAGCTTCCAGCGTGGCCCGTCTTGCAGTTTGGATAACCAAGTGGCATGTAGCAGCATCACGAAAGCATATACCGGAGTTAGGCGGACGTACCGATATACGGTGGCCTTCAGCATGAATAGGACTCCTGGTTTGGAGTTTCGTTTTTCTGCGTAGTTCATGACGAACACCGACAGCAGGAAACCGCTTATGAGGAAGAAAGTTTGCGTAATCTGCACCCCGCCGGTGAGGATCATCGTTCCGATTTTGTGGTATAACTGCAAGGTTGCAGGGTAGACATAAAGGCTTATCTAGTGTAGATCAATGTTTGACAAAAGTAGACAATTGAAAAAAAAAACTCACCATCTCCTTCTTGGAAGCATTCTGCGTGGGAAGGATGAAGAAGATCAACGCCGAATGGCCGGACACGACCAGGTACATTGTGAAAAAGCGAATCGCTTGCAGAAAGCGCAGATCTTTGCTCAACGGATCCTCCGAGCGAGACGTCATCCGGTACCAGTTTCGCAGAACGGAGAATGAGACGAGGAACATTTGCTCTGCGATTATTGTAAAGGTTCGAATCGGTTAAAATTCCTACACGATCAAAATCCGAGCGCACTTACTTTTGTTCAACAAATCACCTTTGTAGTGAAGGACGTCCTGTTTGTAGTTGATGGTTTGATCGTACCAACTGGATAGAATCATCAAACCGATGATCGTTACCAGCACCAGTAGGAAGGTGAGGTCCAATGAATCTAAAATGACAGTTGTTATGGTCATCTGTTAACTGTTTTGAAGCCGTTCACCGACCGATTTCAATCGTTTCATCACTTCTATCGCAAACTTCGATTTCTGTATAACCACGCAGCTGGTAGGTGTCGTTCAGTTGATAGTTTATACAAACATCAATCAGGTCTCCGTAGCGTTTCTGATCCTCGAGGGTATCTTTGAAGACTGTAACATCTACTATGTACTGTGGATCGATTGGGACTTTTCAGTTCTAGCAACCACAACTATGAATTGATCAAACACTTACAGGAAAATCAATATCAAATTTGTCCACCCTCAGTGCCCGTCTGGTTTCATTCGGCAGTCGTTGAACCAATGTCTTGCACTTGTCCATGCAAATTCCACGATCCAGGAGAGCATGATTGTGGTGCCGCTTCCAGTCTTTAGAGAAGTCCTACGAACGGTAAGAATGCTATTATTCTATGAAATCATCTGGTTGAGCTCGCCGTTGCAGACCTCAATCAGGTGCCATAGCTCGGAGCCGTTGTCCGGTTTGATGACGACCCGCGCTATGCAGTATGTGGCTACCTTCCCCTCCGGAACGTCTTCCATGCACAGATCGTAATCGTCAAACACGGCCATCGGTGGCATGCGGTGGTATTGTGACACTGTGCGGAAAAAAATGTACTTTACTCTTAATAGAAATGCTTTACAAGCAAAAAGTTAGCATGTCGCTTAAGTGCGCTTCAAGAGAGTGGGATCTGAAATGATCCAGGTGTCTTTATACTCGTAATGCGTGCTTTACAGACGACCTTGGATTTCTTTAATGATTTGAATTTGATTTTCTAATAACAATTTTCAATCGAAAATATCTTACATTCAATGAAATCTCCACCCATTATTCCTGGCACAAGAACCGAAGCAAGTAGTGCTGTCGCAACCAAATTGAAAACCTCGGCCATTCTTCACAATTTCAACTAAACAACCACTTTAAACCGTTGAACCATGCTACAGCTACGGACTACCACACAGGACTACCCAGCCACTAATGGAGTATAACTTGACCGGGTGTCGGTAGGAACTTTACAGGTGTCATTTAAAGCGGCGGTTTTAATTTTTTATCACCCAGATTCTAAACACCATGGCAACTTATGGTAGGGAACTTCTTACACTTATCATCATCGCATATAGTTTTTACCTTGACCAGGATATTACAGTGCGAAAGTGGTCTCATAAACTTAATTCTGCCTATGAGGGAATAACAAAAATATCACTGTGGAAAATGGATGTAATGTCGACCTAAGTGCCCCTAATTTGGGCCCAATAAGTTCAGCAATGGACTAAATTTTCAATAGCGACCAAAATATCCATCAGTACCGTCCCAATGACGCGTTCATCTAGATAAAATTGATAAATATCAGATTTTTAAATATGGGCCTAATCTTAGATTCATAGGCCAACATTAGAGCCATTTCTCCATATCACACATAAATTATGTATTTTCCTTTTCACTCATCTCGGCCAGAGTTAACGGCGCCGGTGGTGTAGTGGTAAGCGTGATTACCTCTCACCCCAGCAGGCCTGGGTTCAATCCCAGTCGACACCACCGGGATGTTCTGAGGCATAACATCTCTGATCACGCCTTCCTTCGGATGGGAAGTAAAGCCGTTGGTCCCCGGTTCATGAGTTGATGGGTCGATAGGTAGGGTCCAGGTGTGGGAGCTGCCTTCCTGGCACGTCGGTAGCATTGGTGCTCAGCACGGAAAACAAGATCGACGGAAAAAACAAAGCAAAGAAAAAAAACTCGGCCAGAGCTGGTATATATCACGGCCATCATGTGACAATGACAAAACAGGTCCTCTCACTATCACGAGACAAAATTACCTATCACGAGATTTCTTGTCATTTTCCAATGATCTAGCATTCATGAGAATAATTGTCTTACGGCTGTGACATCAGGATTTCTATCTGGTTTAGATGAATTTAGGCAAGCAACAGTATGTAATCGGTAGAGTGAATATATTTTTAAGATTTACGCGGTACAATTAACAATATTATCAGTAAATGAACTAGCAATAGCGATGTTAACAGCACTGTCACGTTCTGTCATAACAAAAAAATCGATGAGATTTTGAAGTAGATCTCTATCATCGTTTTCTCATCCGATGATCTATCTCTGTAAATATCGCGTGAGATCTTTCATTGAAAATGACAATTGCCAGCTCTGATCTCGGCACTATAGTGCAGGAACCGAAAAGTAGGTAAAGCGGGTCAAAGTAGTTTTCATTTACATGGTGTGCAATATGTATGGAATTTTCCAAACATCCAAAAGTATGTTAGAAGGTAAATATGATTATACTTAACGTTGGGTTCCCACACTTTACTACCCTGTTGGGTGGTTTGGCTCCTCCGTTTTTGACAACATTAGAAGGAGAAAAGGAGACAAACTAGTCAAAAGTAGGTTAAAGTGAACTGGCCGTTGGGTACTTTTTTCTTACCGTGCACGTACTACTCCATAAAAGCAAATAATCCGAAAATAAATCAGAAAAAGATAATTTCATTTATATTATATGCTTACCTCTCCTTGTCAATATTCACTTCACTGAACCTTTCAATTTGAAACATCGGGCCAAGGATTAATAGTCATCTACCTTTACCGCTAGTTTTGCGGTTGGTAATAATTTTCTTGGGAAATTTTATCTAGCAAAAAAATCACTCTTGGTCCTGCTATCCACGTACATGTTTTTCGAGCATAATCTTCGGGAATTGGTGAAGACATCTTTTATTTGATTTTGGTTGAAGTTGAGAGGTGGAAAAAATATCTGTTCAGTAAAGGTTTTACCGACTGTCAGTGAAAAATTTATAAATACTGACGAAAAATGTTAAAAATACAGGAGTTTAGTAATTATTACTGAACTCTTCAGTAAAAATCACGCCTGTCAAATCTTCGCCATTTTGCATGTAGAGCGGTGTTTGGATTTCAATGAGAAGTTTAAATCACTGCAGAGACAAATCCTTACAGAAAATCGTGGACATTACCAGCACATCACGAATGGTAAATACTCTTTGCTGAACAATGAAACTTTATAATGCATATTCAAGAATTCCACTTATGTATTTTGTTAAAGATTTTTTGAGGACACTGGCCATCATTCGTTTAAAGAACCCTAGTCCGATGAGCAAAACGAGAGTCCAATGCGGTCAAGGAAAACCCTTTTTCATGATGTTATGGAATGGTATTTTTTTTTTGTATTTATATAATTGCTGCAAAGATTTCAATTTTTTTTTGACATGATGACGGCCTGCCTCCATCCAAAGATGTCCCTGTTTAACAATTCAAAAGCGATATCTACACACTAACTTTAGATTACTGGAGTCAGTAAAATATTACTGGGTTTTTGAATTGCGGATCGCCCAGTAATCATCACAGAAATAATTTGCATTACCGAACTGTCCGTAAAGTCAATCTGTCAGAAATAACTGTTCATTCAGTAATTGGTTTGAGTTGCGTATACTGGAAAACCCAGTATTTTGTTTTGTTTATTTTGCTGCAATTTAACTGACAAGACAGTTATTTGGTTCATTATTGTACCGTGTTACCCAGTTATATTAAAAGTTGTGAATATGCAGTGATAAAATCACGAATCCTGGTGCAATTCACCGTTTATAATATGCCAATTAATATGACGACTTAATCCCTTGACGTACCCCGGGACAGCGCATCGACAGTGAAAGCAAATAATGCAAAAATCAATTTTATTAATCAAAATTTGTTGGAGATCAAGGAACTGCAAAAAGAGTAAATAATAATTGTTGATACTAACGAAATAGCTCTTCAATTTCGCTGTCGAGCTTTCTCAGTTCCGTCATGATATAATTAATTAATTAATTTCTCTTTATTAGGGAGGCTTTCAGCCATGGGCTGGTTCGCCTCCACACATGATATAATTCAAATTTTAACAAAACTGCGCGATTAAAGACTTGCTCCCGGATTTGACTGAAGCTAAAATGGCGGCGGGAATAAAATTGACAGGTTAGAGTTTTACAATTCGGGGTCGGTAAAACAAGGAGGCTATTTTGCTGACCAGTCGGTAAAAAATAAAAACTACTTTGTGCACAGTAATTAGTTTTACTGACTTTTCGTGAAATCACGAAGATTTGGAAATTAACGACTTTCTCAGTAAATAAATATTCTGTGTACAGTATTTTGCATCAAACGATACCGAAGTTCAGTTTGTGTTTTACAGAACGTCGGTTATTCACCTGATTTAAACTGAATTTTCAGTAAATCTTTTGTTTTACGGTGTAAGCCCAGTACAAAAAAATACCGAACAACTAAATGCTGGATTAGTGTGTATGCACACACTAAGATTTTTTTACAGGAGTCAGTATTTTTTTACTGGGTTTTTGAATTGCTGAAAAAGTCGGTAAAAATTCAAATGACCGTTATCCGTAAGGAATCAATGAAATCGACCAATTATATTTTCTATCATTAAATAGGGTTAAAAGAACTAAGTATGTACAAGTTTAGAACAAATTTTTTCATTAATAAATTTTCCACAGATTTTTAAACTTTTACCGAACAGTTCCGCAATTCAAAAACTCAGTAAAACCGTACTGACTCGGTTAGTGTGCAAACAACTGCTATGGCTAAATCGTTTGCAAGTGTATGGAGCAAGTGTATAAACGGTGATTACGAGTACTGCTTCCGGGTGTTGATTAAGTCGTATCTGGTGCTCAATGTTAGTTGTCGCCACAGTATTTTTCCCCACTTTGATGGGTATCGGAACACTGACGACGACCGGTGACAGGATAGACATATTGACGTGTAATACTAATCGGTCACATTGCATTTAATAAAATGTATAAACAACAATTTATATTGTGCTTGATTTTTTAACGGATCAGTTCCCTACATTTCACTGTTTTTCAGTAAAAACTACCGAAAGAACTGTAATTTTTGGCAGTTGACAACGTTTCTATTTTTACATTTTTTTTTGTAAATTTTACCGAACTTTGGTAATGAGTGATGAGCTAGTCGGTATTTTTTGACAGTTAAGTGTGCATTGCAAGTTTGCCGATCGTTCAGTAAACTAAACTTTTACCGAACTGATAACCGAATGTTCAGCTGTTTGAAAGTCAGTAAAATGTTTACCGACAACTGTAAAAAAAAACTTGGTGTTTAATGAAATTCGGTTAAAAAAACGATTTTCGCTTGTTTCAAAAAGCACTCAAACCATCACGTATGAAATGTATTTGCGATATAGCCATCACAAATTCAATGTTATATTCTTATTATTTATAATGTTTTCTGATTATATAGCCATTCAAAGTTTCATATTTCTTGAACGAAATTGTTTTAGTTGCACGCATTTTTTCAAAGTAACCCCAATACTGATGTTCGGTCACAAAAAAAAGTGCAAATGCTCTAATCTTCATACTACTCTAGGATCCTCAGTACTTATTTAAAAAAAAAGTAAAATTTGAAATTAAAAACTACCAATGTTACCCCGTTTTACGGTACGTAAAAGAAGATATATTTGAGTTTAAGGATAGACGTGCCGGGATCGAAACATAGTAACAACAAATTGAACGGAAACTTGATCGTAATTGTTTTGTGATAAAATGAGCTCGGTGGCCTATTGGCAACCTATTTTGCTTACTGAGTCGAAGACCGTCCCAGACAACCAGAATGCACGTGTATTCAAAGTTGTTTTCGTGATATACAAACATATATACAAACAAACAATTCGTATAGAATGCAAAGAAATGGCTTATACGTACAAAAGTGGAGGCCATATACGTGCATATTTTAATTTAATTTTAAAGGAGTTGATTTAACATCATATGCGATTTGATCTGTAATAACAAATTCATTTTGAAAAGTCTTACGATGTAATCCGATTTAATTTGTGATACAGTACGACTTAAAAATGAGTCATCGCATATAAGTCGGACATTTGCATTCTATACGATTTAACTTAAACATAATGCGAGGTATGCCATTCTTATATGCGATTTTGACTTGCACTGTAGCAATTTACGATACTGTCTGAACATTGTTATACGACTTCTGGTTGTCTGGGGTGAGTTCAAACCCAGGCCCCTTCGTGCTATGGAATCGTTAGGACATCAATTCAGCATATCGTTTACCAAAACGAATCTTGCTGCAATCCCAACCCTTTTATCCAAGATCCCATTGATTTCTCGTGGAAGTGCAGAGATGTCTAAGACCTACCCCTTGTCAAAAAGCAATATGCCGAGTAATGCAAATATGGACAATTTTTGGCCTACACTGTACCAAAACATCATCCTCTGTTCGAATGAAACCTCAGACCATTCAAATCGAAACATCTAAATTGCTTTTTCGAATGATAGCTGCAACCGGATGACGGTTGTTATGTAATCAGATGATGCTCCTCTAGAATATAGGATGAACATTGATCAGTGCTGATACAAATCCTTTCTTCTACACTCAATTTAGCTGAAAATGAAGAAAACCTTAACAGATAGACCAACTACCTGCATGAATTTGAATTTTGATATAAACAAATTCCCTTGATCTAGGCAACCTCTGAGTATCAAAAATAACATTTGTTTTTCTTCATTCGATTCTCATTATCGCCTCTGTTGTTGTAAATATTGATATTCGTCTTCATCTTGGTCGGGATGATATTGAGGATCAAATGCAAAATGATTATTTTCATTTTAAACAAATATAGCGCTGAACAACGTAGTTTTTAAACATAAGTCGACGACAAATTCTTGCCTCAAGCTGAACTGATGATAATATCGATGATTTAGGCAGTGTGGTCGACAATATTCAAAATAATCATCTTGCCCAAAATGTCGTTGATTATTTTGCTTTTGAGGATCACTTCTGATTTTGACAATTTTGGGTTTGATAATCGAGCACTGGTGAATATCAACAAACGCGTATTCGTTGATGTATTATAAACTCATTTGTTCATTTCGCTCGTTTCGGAACTACGAAGATGTTCAAAACAAACGCAATTCATCGACACTGGGTTGAAGCGATACTCCTTGCATGTGATGGTAAATGATAAAAACAGACACTGACATTGATACGAGAAGCGAACGGACCTTAGTTGAAATGTGTAATGCTCTCTGTAGAATGATTGTCATCCCCAATTGAAAAGCATTGAGTATTGGTTTAGCTCCATTACGCCAATCATCCAAAACGATGATGTAAATAATTATATCGAACGTTATTTGCTGATCTGAGCTGACAAACGAGATGGAAAAATAATCATCGCTATCAGAGGTGGTATGAACACCGGTTGGAAACTAACAATTTTAAATTGGCTCACTATTTGACTAGCCTATTGGTCCCAAGCAAATCGATTAACGTACCCCAAGCTAGAGTCGGTGCATAATGAGTCACGCCAAGAGAAAAACAGTTGAACTCGCATCACGGTTTTCGAAAGATTCCCTTTCTTTTCACTTGGCAACAGAAGAATTCTACATCAACTTCAAATGACTTCTAGCGAGAAAAAAAATAGCGGCTGTAGTAAATCATTATATCAGTGATTTAGTCAAATTATCTCGACCAAAAATAGTAGAAATTCTCATAAGTGATCATTACCAAACGTATCCCATGACAATTTATTGCTCACTGCGAGTTTATGATCATTTCTTCGATTGTATTTTATATTTTATTGCAATACCTTTCGTGGACCTTTCATAGCATCGTAATGTTTGTTTACTTTGCACGATAGGTAGCCGGTTTGACAGCTCAATAGGTAGACTTGGCTTCACTCTTGGCGTGACTCATTATACACCGACTCTACCCCAAGCTAGTCAAAATTCCAGTACTACACTATGTTTGTTTTGATTCGCTATGAAATTTTGACAGATAAAATTAGAGGTTCGTGGATTTTCCTTTGTTTCGAGGGTTGCATCGATTAGCTTGGGACCGAAGAGAGTGCTAGAGATGAGCCAAAAAGTTGAGCACGTTTCTTCGGGACTTACTGGTCTTAGAGTTATCTCTATGGTACGAACATTGGTAAAGCGTGGAAACCAAAGATTGTCTATTTCGTGGTGGAGGAAATTTCCTCTACCAACAAACGACTTTTGTATCTTTAATGGAATGGCTTTTCATGGCTATTCAATATGAAAATTTTAACAATCGAATTATCAATCTTATTTGAAGAATTTGCAAGTCATCCTGTTCTTAAATTGTTCCCCGCTGAGCGCTGTATGTAATTTTCAAATAAAAATCATCCTTTTATTTGGATTGCAGTCATATGGACGCTCATCAGTTGATGACGAATTCAACCATAAGGCAGTCATCCGAAAATCGAAAGCATATTATTAAAGGGCTCAACCAATGCAATAATTATTCGAAGTTTTGCGTATGTTTTCGTTCAGTGTACCCCAGATGGAGAACCGTTGCCATCGAAAATCAACAGTAGCAGTAGCCAAGAAATATTTTTTTACTATGGTTCTATAACTCGATATGGGCTTCGGAGTTGTGGAGAGTTGACGGTAAGTTGATTTAATTTATGTAGCCATCAACTAGCTATGTGATCTAGGACATGTTTTCTTTCGATTAATTTGAGTTGGTCTATATCAAACAATACCAAATTAAAGGCAGTCCAATCAACGTGCTGAATTAATGACCAAATGCATAGTTTATCAAAAAAACAATATAAAAGTTAGAAGTTTATCACATTATCACAGAGTTCATTTATTCAAAATTGAGTAGTTGATTCATACACAGAATAAAAACAATAAATTGATCAGATATAATTCATGCTGATGTATCAAATTTGGCTGATATTGCATTGGCTTTAATACAATATGTTATACCGTATACCCCCAGTAATCTGACCGATTTTTAATCTGAATACTTTCGAATTTAAACCCCGCTAATCTGCACGCCCTGCAAACTAAAAATGGCTCACACGTCATTTAGTGCAAGGAATGGAGTAAAGCTAAAAGAAACATTGTGAAACGGAACGCAGAATCAAAACAAAACAGTAATCAAGGCTACCAGAAACACACTTTTCTGATGCTCATAGGGTTACTAGAAGTCCAAATTTAAAATGAACCTCTTTAATTTACATAAAGTATCGTTCAGATTAGCGGGAGTCCACGGTATTCCATCGATTTAAATAAAATATTCAACAACTGTTTTTGCTGAGTAAGTTACACTGGTCTAATTATTAATATTATCACTGCCGTTTGGTACGCAATTTGCTGCAGTAGTTTCACTGCCATTCTTCACACTTCCATTGGCCGTCTCTGGATCAACTGGCTGTTTCACATTTCCTATAATCAGCAAAATGAGTCTTGTGATAAAAATACACCAAGATGTCGCTACGAACCTCTGATGTTCCCGAAAATCAGCTTCTGCAAAGCGGAATTCGGAAGCTCTATCGCCAAGCACAGGAACAGTGCCATCAGATAGGAGAACATCACCGAAGCGAACACTAGCGTAGTCTGTAAGGGGGAATGTGGAATCGAAATTAGCACCGTCCATCACGGATGGTGGCTAGATAAAAAAAATATTACCGTTCCAATGTAGTTGAAGTGAACTGGCGTCCGTGTGCTCAGAGCTACCACCCTCATTACGAACACGTGACCAAGATAGGCCGTGTACGTGATCCTTCCCAGGGGCTCGAAGATGTGGTGGTTGAAGATCCGCTTCAATACCGGTGAAATTCCGTACGTTTGGCCAATCATAAATATGCAGGTGTAGATGCCCCAGGTGTTCTTTGCCAGTGGGAAAAAGGCTGCCATCCACAGGGAGGGTTTCTCAAAGTTGTACTCGTAGAAGATGTAGTTGGACAGCAGGGTGGCAAAAACGGCTGGGAATGTTAGATACCAAATGATGCGGAACCACTTTTTCTGAACGGGGTCGGTGTTGGTTTTCTGTAGATTGAGATAGATCATTCCGGTTATGATTCCGGCTAGGTAGTTTCCGAGATTGACGTGCAGTGGGATGTAGGCTTTTTGATAAAATTCGTCGAACCACAAAGTGAAACGTTGACCTCTGTTGGAGACAAAATTGGAATTGAGTTCGACTCGCGGCACGATGTGGATCAGTAAATTAGTCTTACTGTAGTGTTACAAGAAATGTTCCTTCGAGTTTGTCGTAGTATATGAAGAAAGCCGGTATCAGATAGGTAGCAAGCACTGCTAGCACTAGAATCGGTGCTGTAAACCTCCGGAATCTAATGATTGCTAGAAGAAGCAAACTTCCAAGGATGAACAGTTGGAAGTCACAGCCGAGATACCAGCCTTGCTGAACACACTGAAATTACAAATTCTAAGAGTAAAAATTGTTCAAACATACTCTGTGAGATCTCAAATTCGTACAGGCTGATCTCCGTTGATGTAGTTGTTGACGTATAGCAAATTAGTCCACCAATTTCGGCGGCAGAAGGCCCGTTCAGTTTCCGTTCCTATTTTCCATAGGGGACCATCCTGAAGTTTGGACAACCATGTGGCATGCAGCAGAATGACAAACGCATACACTGGAGTCAAACGGATGAACCGGTAGACGATGGCCTTCAATAGGAATAGGAATCCGGGTGATCCTCTCGAACGATTTTCCGCATGCTGTATCATTTGAACGGCCAGCAGGAAGCCACTCATGGCGAAGAAGCTCTGCACGATCTGTGGACCTCCAGTGAGGATCATCGTGCTTAGGTTGTGATACATCTGAAAGGATTTGAATTTTAGAAATAAGTAAAATTCAAATTCAAAACTGAATTCGATTGGATCGTTACCATTTCCATCCTGCTGGAGTTCTGCAATGGAATAATAGCATAGATCAGTGCCGCATGACCCACAATGACTAGATTCATCGTCATGAATCGAACCGCCTGGAAGTAGCGCAGATCTTTGTTGAGAACCTCCTGGGAACGAGACGTCAGTCGGTACCAGTTCCGAAGGATCGAAAACGACACGAGCACCATTTTTCCTACAACCGAAAAGGGATTCTGCATTGATCGAGAAACATTTCATTACACTATGAACTGCTACTTACTGGTACTATCCAAGTCATGTTTGTAATGTATGACATGCTGTTTGTAGTTGATGGTTTTGTCGTACCAACTGGATAGAATTACTGTAAAAATTAAGGCTACATACACCAGCAGGAAGAATACGTCCAACCGATCTATGAGAGATTTAACATATTTTATAGCAAGTGATTTATAAACTAAAATGATCATACAAACCAACGTCCACAGTTTCGATATTCTTGTCACAGACTTCAATTTCCGTGTAGGCCCTCAGTCGATAGGTTTCATTGAGTTTGTAGTTGATGCAAAGATCCAACAGCTCACCATAACGTTCGCGATCTTTCGCCGCGTCTCTGTAGACGGTCGTATCGAAAATATACTGTAAAAACACAAACAAAACCAATAGGATTATCTGAGATAGGGTAAGGGCAATCATTTATTTAAACAGAACCAAACATGAGCTTTTTACTCATCCTTCTACAATTTGCATTAAACATTGCATAATTTAATCTTGTATTTTTGGTTAAAATTGTGTTTTCGACATTTTTTAATAAATCATAGCACGAAAATGCCACTTCCAAAGTTACAAAATAAAGTGTTTCTGGGATAAATATACATTGATAATTTGATCAGCAATGTTGAGAACGGTTTTTTTTTTTAATTTATGTTTCAATACGTTTGCTTATTCAATAGTATTGATTTAAATTTAAAAACTTACGAAAAACGTAAACTTTTAATATATTGAATACATATTGGGCACACAAAAGTTGGCAAAAGTTCAAAGCCTTGAACAACAATTTTTGGTCAACTTTTTTACGTGTTGAGAAAATTATGAACTGCTGTCCATCAGTTAATATGACCTTGACCAACTGAACAACTCTGTCGAAAATAGAATCGTTCTATATGCCCAAGATTCCAAGATATTGCATATTCTGGAATTTCACTTGTACGCTAGCGCCACGCAGTGAGAATTTTTTTTAACTGCAGTCCATCAATCAAAACGCCTTGACCCACTGAATAATTTTGTCGAAGACAGTAACGATCTATATAACCAGCAACCCAAGATAGAGCATATTGTGGAAATCACTTATACACTAGCGCCGCGTAGTGAGAAAATTCTGGTCTGCTGTTCACCAATCAAAATAAACAACTTTAACGAAAATAGTAACCTTCTATATGGCCAGGATATCAAGATATAGCATATTCAGGTAATTCACTAGCAAACTAGCGACTCGTAGTGAGAAAATTCCGAACTGCTTTTCACCCATTAAAAGGTATTGACCTACCGAACAATTTTGCCGAGGACAGAAACCTTCTATATGATCAGGATCACGAAATATACCGAGGAAGAAAGGAAAACCCACATTTTTTGTACAAAGTATAACGCGCGAGTGCTTCTGTTACAAAAGTTGAATATCATAATGCACCTCAAATCTTCAAAAGTGGTCCAAAAATGTCAAAATGTTCTAAACCAGCTCTGCTGCTGCTGGTCAACCGGTAGCAGAATCGATATGGTGTTGGAATATTTCCTCTATGCCATGATTTTATGCCATTTAGAGAAAACTCAAGTAACATTGCAAGTTTTATAGAGGTTTTATAGCATTCTACAAGTCTAAATCATGGTCTACAGAACCCTCATACAACCAGAATTGTTACTTGGAAATCGCGGTCTACTCTCAGGAATGGACCATTTTCCCGGTGAATCCGAATTTCCGCAGGGTCACCTCTCACGTGTTTTCCATCCCGACTGACCAACCACAAGTCCAATTGGTTCCCTGTCTGTTCCGTTCGAAAGTAGATAGCCAAAGCTTTCAAAAAGTAGTTCAATCTGAAAATTTGGTAACCAAATGCCGAAAACCAGTCGAGTCAACCAGTGCTGCAAAATATAAATATCAATACCTACAAAATGCTACATTTCAGTAGCCACCTGATCTCAGTATCAGTTCAGACAGTTATAATATCAATATCATTCGCCTCAATGTCAGTGGCATTGTTAGTTGATAGTTGATTTATTTAGATAAAAGTAATATGTTCATCTTTTCCCTAGTGATATTTATATGGACAGTAATATTGAAGGCGTACCGCTTGATATCATGCCTAAAGGGCGAACACGAAATTATTGCGACACATTCAACAGGGCATAACTTTTTTACCATTGGGTAAAAATCAACCAAATTTTGCACACTTTCTCATTGATGTGTATTGTGTACATGCTGTCAAACTCGAAGTCGTGTTTTTCGATTCAACGAAAATGGAGGTGAACCAACGCGAGTTGAGAGAACAAATTCTTTCCAAACACCTGGAATTTCCTGACCTGTCGCACCGGCAGTTGGGAAAAATGTTGAACATTCACCATTCAACCGTCTCCAGAGTGTTGATGCGGTTCCAGGAGCGGTTGACGTTGGACCACGGCAAAGGAGCTGGAAGAAAACCGGGACCGGAGAACAAAAAGACGGAGGGAAAGGTGAAGCGGATGATTAAAGCAAATCCCAACGTCTCAAGCCGTGATTTGGCTAAAAAGATCGGCATTTCGCTGAGCTACGTCCAGAATGCAAAGAAGAGAGCTGGACTACATACATACAAGGTACAGAACTTCCCAAACCACGATGAGCGGCAACAATCGACGGCTAAAACTCGGGCACGGAAGCTCTACGAGAAGATGCTGACAAAATATGGCTGCTGTGTGATGTACGACGAAACGTATATAAAAGCCGATTTTAAGCAAATTCCGGGGTTGGAGTTTTTCACCGGCAAGAGCAAGTTCGATGTGGACGACAAATTTAAGAAGAAGAAAATGTCGAAGTTCGCCTTCAAATATCTCATTAGGCAGGCCATCTGCTCTTGCGGACTGAGGAGTGAGCCTTTCGTGACAAAGGGCACAGTAAATGGCGAGATCTACAAATCTGAGTGCCTCGAGAAGCGCCTTTTGCCGTTCTTGCAGCAGCACGACGAAGCTCCGCTATTTTGGCCAGATTTGGCATCATGCCACTATTCTAAAAGTGTCCTGGAGTGGTATGAGGCCAATTCTGTCCATTTTGTTCCAAAGGACATGAATCCGCCAAACTGTCCGGAGCTGCGCCCGGTGGAGCAGTACTGGGCAATAATGAAGCGGGAACTTCGGAAGAGCAAGAAGACAGTCAAAGACGAGAAGGACATGTTAATAAAATGGAAAAAAAAAACTGAGAAACTGGTACCGGATGACACTGTAAAGACTTTGATGGAGGGCATCAAGCGAAAATGCGTTCAATTTTACACTCAAGGCTCCATCGATTAACTTTTCTTTTGATTTTTGAAGTAAATATATGTATAAAACTACCCTAAAATTTTGGTTTGATTCTAAACATTATAAGAAAATTGGCATGACATTTTCGGTGTCGCAATAATTTCGTGTTCGCCCTTTACTACGAAATTCAGTGCTAGACCAATAGACCAATGTATCTTAAACGCTGTCCAGACTGGAGAGTTATAACATGTTATAACGGTTGTCAAATAATTGCAACACAAAAACCACCATCAAGATAGCGCTATAATATGTTATAACTCTGTAGTCTGAACGTATTATTGCGTCAATTGACATTGTTGACTGCACGCAGTACTGGCGAAGATAAGCAAATGCCGCGATAGAGCGAGTGAAAAGCAGAGGAGCCAATAACGAAGCCCTTCAGCAATTCTCGGCTCTAGATAAGTGAAGTTAATGCCTTGTTCAGACTACAGAGCTATAGCATGTTATAGCGCTATCTTGATGGTCGTTTCTGTGTAGCAATTATTTGACAACCGTTATAACAACAATCAATACGAAACTAACGATTTTAAATTGGCTCACCACTTTAGTAGCCTATTGGTCCCAAGCAAACGATTAACGTACCCTATTCTAGTTGAAATTCTATTACTACACTATGTTTGTTTTGATTCGCTATGAAAGTTTGACAGATAACATCAGGGGTGTGTGGATTCATGCAGAACATGCAGGGGTGAGTGAAATAGCTTGGGACTGCTTGGGACCGTTGTTCTGGTACTGAGTGAGCCAAAAATAATAATGATTTTCTTCGGGACCCAGTGGTCTTAGAGTTACCTCTATGGTTATAACATGTTATAGCTCTCCAGTCTGAACAAGGCATAAGCGCTCATAAGCAAGCACCACACGGGCAAAAATATTGTCAATATTCAAAATATTGACAATCATATTGATGCGACGATAAAAATATTGATTAACGATGACGCAAAATCAAAAAAGTTTGATTTCATGTTTGAATATTTTCGCTCATTTTACCCTTCTGTTTGACTACAGTAGCAGATGGGGCCTGTTCTTTGGCATCTTTTGACAAGGTAGTTGTGATTTTACTCGGAATATGCCAGCAGCAAAAGCGATGTTAGTGAGGAGCGACACTGATTGATGACCCCCGGAATAAATTGTTGATAACGCCCTTAATGGTAACTAATGCCGCGAAGAAAATTAAAAGCTCCTTCACGCTTGGACCAGACGGTATTAATCCTGTAGTGTATTGCCACGCTATTGGAGCTCTTGTTGAGCCACTTTGCAGGATCTTTAATACATCGTTTGTGGACTTGAAATTTCCTGCTATCTTGAAGGAGTCATTGATGGTTCCAGTACCCAAGAAAGAAGACAAACGTGATGTTAAAAACTACAGGGGAATCACTAACCTTACAGCTGCATCTAAACTGTTTGAGATAATTGTGAGTGAGGTTATTCTTGAACGTGTGTAACATCCCAAGTAACCAAAAGTTCCGCATTCAACGATTAAAATCACTTCCAAGTTCCATAAAGTTCGAATGAAGTTCCGACAGAACTTTCAAGTTCCATAAAGTTCAAATAAAGTTCTGACAGAACTTTCAAGCCACATGAAGCAATCCGCACAAGTCTTTATTAGTAACAAAATTTAATGTACGTAATTGATGAAATGATCAGTGGCCCGAATAAATCATAATTCTTATATCTATGCAGTGCCTCAACATTCTATCCAAACATAAAAAAATAATTAAAAGGAAATTTCCTGGATTCGAACCCGTGTTTTCGGCATGCGATCTACGAACGCTAACCACTGCGCCACAACAGCTCACTGTATTATATCTCAGATGACGCAACGGTTGGTGCTGGAACTCTCACGCGAAGGACTGGGTTTTAATTCTTCAAACAGCTCCAATTATCTACTTCTAATAACACGATAAATCAATACACATTAATACCTGCCTTTAGAAATAACTTTCATAAAAGTGCGATCTAAATATATAGAATTGGTGTAGAGGACAAAAACCTTTTTTAATATTTTATAAAAGTTCCGTTCAAGTTCCGCCAGAAGCTGCTTATAATGCTCTTCAATTATGATACCGGAACTTTCAAGTTCTTATAACGATTTAAAAATGAGGCTGCTTTGAATTCTATAGACCAACACCAACCAAGCTGCTTAAGCCACAAATAGCCTTTTATCAGAACTTTTGGTTACTTGGGATATCTCCTGTGACCAACATGGCTTCATGCCTGGACGTTGGGTTACAACAAATCTACTGGATTTTACCACGACCTGTTTCGAACAACTGCATAGTGGGGCTCAAGTAGACGTCATATATACGGACCTTAAAGCAGCGTTTGATACGATCAACCATGATATTCTGTTGGCTAAGCTATCCAAACAAGGCACATTAGATCGGTTGAAATCGTGGTTTTGCTCGTACCTGACTTGCGAGTTAAACTTGATTCCAGTAGGGTAGAGCACTACTTCGTCGTAATTGCCCATTTCCGTTCTATCGATCAGAAAAGATCAATAACATCTATGATTTCACTGTGCACAAATCAATAATAGGTTTGTTCCTATGTGTTAGTTCATTAGCTACAACATAAATCCTGTTAGAGCGCATTGTGTGAATATTTACACTAATTATTTTCAAAACAAAAGAAGCGCTCATAGCTAATCCCCTTTTTCTACGTTTATCCGTAGGAGGAAGAAAATCTAATGGCGTTTCAATGCGTTAGGACGGAATTGAATCTCGTAATTTAGAATCAAGAAGCATTATTAGATTTTAAACAATATTTCAACAATTTGTGACTCTTTATCAAATCTAACGGTACGTATGGAAAGGTGAATAAATTTAGAAGTCATCTTTGACATAAATATTCAATTTTTTTTTAAACTCTATCAGAAAAGAGGTAAAGCGCGGGTTGTGATTAGTAGGACGGAAATTATATCAAAACCCTACTTCCTCAGTTGGAGGCGAACCAGCCCAAGGCTGAAAGCCTCCTTAATAAAGTTAAATAATAATAATACTTCCTCATATTTTACGAACTTGTCGGGCGTATCACAGGGGAGCAATCTTGGCCCGTTGTTGTTTATTTTATTCTTCAACGACGTATTGCTTGGAGATGGTTGCAAGCTGCCGATGACCTAAAGCTGTACCCAAGTAACCATAGGCACGCTATTTCGCCTTTCCGGCTATATACAGCTGAACAACGGCTATACCAGTGTTTGCAAGTTCTGATGAGGCCCGTATATAGCCAAAACGGTGAAATAACGTGCCTACACTGAGATTGTTATTCCATCAAATTCCATAGTAATATCGTATGATTTTTTGCGACAAGATTTTAGGTTGAATTTCATACGATCGGACTATGAAGAACTGTCAAATTGATTCATACTGCTATCGTATGATTTTCTCGTATACAACTATGCATTTGAATCCAAATTAATTATGGATATCATGGAACACTACGTTTACTTTTCGTCATTTAGTTTTGTTTGAAATAAACGAGATTTTTGTTATTTTCTTAGTTTATATTGACTCGTATTTGAATTAGTATTTTATAACATTTACTTACAATTTTTTAAAAACGTTTTCTGGTTTAGATTTTGATCATGATGCTTTGATCTTTTGGTGTACATCACACGAAGCAGCTGAGAATACTGAACAAAGTTCGATGGAATCGAAAAACTAGTTCCGTTGGCGTTCGATTTTCATGCAATGGGTCTCCAGGTCAGCTGGTGCAACGGTGCAGTTATGTACAATGTAAAGCCAGAAGCAGCAGAAGGTAATCTGGAAATGTAAAACTAAAGATTTTAAAACATAAATTACTGCTTTGATTCTATAATAAATTACTACTTACAGATTTACGAAGTCTTGTGCTACGTCGCATAACTGGATCTGCCATCTTTGTCGTTTTTGTTGTAATTTACACTGACCTAGTACTTTTCATACGATCGTCTTATGAATTTTTGACATATTTTGCGTAAAAGCAATTCATACGATGGGTTTATGAAATTCATTTTTTTTTCATACACCATTTATTGTATAAAACTATATATGCTATAGATGGAGTATGGATTCATAAGATACCTATGAAATTGGATGGAGCTCGTATTTTTATGTGTTCATACGATGCAGCTTATGAAAATTGAAGGGACAGTTTCCTTAGTGTATGGTTACTTGGGTATTGCGTGGTGCGATGTACTGAGGATTGTATTCGTCTTCAATCGCTATAGAGAATTTCACGTCAGGTTGTATTGGTGCGATATATGAGAGCGTGCTTGTGAAAATTCGAGGAAAATACATAACAAATCGCTGTCAAACTAATGTTGACAGATCTAATTTCATATGTTTTTTAGGTTAGCCAGAGGAAAATAATGCATCCGGTAGGTGTGCGTGCGTTAAACGTCACTAATCTTCATTGGATCTATTCGTTGGTTGGTGCAATCTGAATAGGGGCTGTTCATAAACTACGTAGACAGTTTTTTTGGGATTCTTGATGTCCCTCCCCCTGCGTAGACAATAGTATATACAAAAAATTTTAAATTTTTATGGTCCGTAGCCGGAAAACGGAATCTCATTGGTTCGAGAATTTTGATAGGTAAGCAGGTACCTAAGCTCGTTGACGTCATTCTTGTGACGAATTTTGAAGAGGACGGAGGAGCAGCAGCAGAAGTAGCAGCAGAAGTAGCAGCAGAAGCGGCAGCAGAAGCGGCAGCAGAAGCAGCAGCAGAAGCGGCAGCAGAAGCGACATCAGCTGCGGGAATAGCAGCCGAGAAAGCAGCATCGCGGTTTTATTGGAATATAAATTTGTCATTCATTTCTACTCGGGATATGAGATCCCAATAATCAAAAGAGAGGGAGAACGAATTCTCTCACCACACAATTAGGCATAGGCAAATGAAATAGACCGCGTGGATTGTAAAGTTATATATATATCGCTAGAATAGATGGGACAGTGAAATGTATAAGATCAATAAGGAATACAGTGAATTTATCCTCATTTTGTATCAGCAAACGGTTGACGGAATAAAGAATGCGTAAGGCAATTTATTCACAGAAACTACTTTTTGAAAGCTGATCCGAAACTGGAAGAAGCCGTTTCCTTTTCAGGTTGAGAACATTCTTGGTGAGTATACTGGTTATGATAGTGGTGACGACCCCATTGGTTTCTCACTACATAATCAGAAAGCTGCTGTTTCTGCCAACAGGTTTCGTGTAGCCGTGACTGAGGAACCGGAAACTTCATTATGGTCACGACAATTTCCAACCCGAAAGATTCCCTCGACCGGACCGGGAGTCAAATCCGCCACCTCCGGCTTGTTAATACCGTGCCTTTACTGACTAGGTTATAAGGCCCCTACCTACCGTGGCGCGATCCGTAAAATCCTCCGCCGTATTCTGATCGCCGTATGCAATTTGCTGAGTTTGGAAACCGTGGAACGTCGACGAAAGAATCAACAAAGTTATTAAATGGGCATGTTGACTGCCTTCTCCGTCTTCTTTCGCCGTTAGATATCCGAGTGCCCCCGAAAACATAACAAAGTGGTACCCTACTCCAACCACGATACCATCGAACAGCATTCAGTGCACCACTAAAAACTGTGATGCGTACGTTCACATCTGTTGAAGAATTGTTTGAATTTGGGGAAGCTTTTTGACTCGAATTAGAATTGCATGAATGGTATAGTTTTTAAGATATTTCATGTAGACAACAGTCAGATGAATAATTAAATGAATAAATAAATATTGACGTGAATATATTGATGGAAATATTGACGAAACTTCTGTCGTGTTGGGCGCACTTTACAGAAGGGGCAAGCGAGCGTGGCTGACGAAGGGGAGAATTTCCCATAGATGGAGATATTCATCACGATATCACGCGATATGAGATATTTATGAAAACACATGACATTTCTACAAATATTTTCTGAAATTTGGAACATTGCGATTCAGATGACCAAAATGGGTCTGTGTAGAATTTAATGAAATTTCAATCCCATCATTAGAAAAATGTCAACTACTCACCGGAAAGTTTATGTCAAACTTTTCAACCCGCAACGCTTGTCTCGTGGCATTTGGTAAACGGCGTACCAGTCGTTTGCAGTCTTCCATACAAACACCCCGATCCAGCTGGGCATGGTTGTAGTGTCTCTTCCAATCTTTTGAGAAATCCTCAATCATGTTCCACAGTTCGGACCCATTGTCCGGTTTGATGACCACTCGGGCCACACAGTATGCCACGATCTGCCCTGGGGGTGCCTCCTCCATGCACTGGTCGTAGTCATCGGTTTCCGATAGCCTAGGCATGCGATGGTACTGAGATACTGGAGTAGAAAAAAAAAGCATAATTGAGTTCGTAGCTGCTACGGATTTGAAGGATGTAAACTGACGAAGGGTCGTTTGTGCTAAGTGCGGTTAATGTTTTACTTTTAGTGCTTGCAATTTTATGCGTGGTGTAATGCCGTTGAACCTGTCGCAGTCATTAGCAGAAGGTAACTTCAATATATCAGCTCGTATATCTATATGTGCTTGTTGTGGTTCTATATGGAAGCTGGATGACGACTAAGAGCCACACTTAAATGATAAATGGAAGTCCGGAACCATTTCAAATCTACTTTATCAAGTACACAAAAAGCTCTTTTTTCTGTCTATTGCATCTCAACTGTAACTTTACACCTGCCCGCAGAGCACTTTGACCTCTTCCACAAATTGAATGCTTTCGAAGTCTGCTCCATTTTTCCTATCAAATATTTATCAAGCACAATGATGAATCGACTTTACAACCCCCAGATATTAACTATTATTTCGATTAGTTTTGAGATGCCTAACAACTGTGCCGAATTGAAACGAATTTGGTTGTGATCTGGATTTGAAGGGTATTGTTATGATTGTATGGTAAAATGTATGAAAAACAGAATGAACAAGCAAATTATCAAAAATGCATAGATAGCAGACATAAATTAGACCAACTATGCAGAACATCGAAAATGGATAAATAAACGTTTTCGTATATTTAATCGAATCGCTATCGGAAGTGCAGTAAGGAACAGGGGGTTGTAACCCACCACACAAACTTGACCCAGGGATCAGGATCAGGAGCCGAGTCACTTAATAATTAAATCCCTACTGCTTACAATCAATGAACTCTCCATTGCTGACAACGCCAAACAGCACTACAATCAAGGAAGCACTGACTAACTTCAACATGACAATTAATTACACTAGTAACTTGATCTACAATAGGCTGCAGCTTATTGAGGGAGATTCGAAACTTCAGCACTTCCTAGCACGGAAGATTATCACACTGGACTGATCCAGTTGAGATTTGTTCTCAGATGTCAACCGTTCTAGATGAAATAGAAACTAATAGCAACCAGCGATGACTTTGAGGAAATGACGCATGTAAAGAAACGTGTTACCCAAAAAAAAACAGGAGGATAATTAAAAGCTTTGACTAAAATAAAAAATCTCCTCAGACTAGCTATAGTGATATTCGTATTGTACCTACCAACTTCCTCAATACAGGCGCTTTTGAATGCTGCTTCAATTAGAGTTCTGTGAAGTGTTCGGTTTTGGAAACTCAGCAAATTATTTTCTTACCGGGTAGAAGTACTAATCATGGCTATATCTACGTTTCTTTTCGGTCTAGCGAATTTTTCCTAACGATGGTGTAGCCTAACAGCATACAAAAAAATTATATCAATATTGAGAACTAGAATAAAGTAGGGGGCAAGGTCACCACTCTAAAGTTAAAATCATTTTATATTTACACTCATAAAATAAATCACATAACCAGTGGAAAATATCTATGAGGCTTTCACATAACTTTCATGTGATCCCATAATTCGAAATTGCTCCACTAAATCACATGAACCTTATGAGTCCAATGAAAGCTATATAACTACTCATATGGAATGTATAATGTTATGTGATATACAGATAAAAATAATTAATTTTGGGAGTTGGTTGGAAATGCTAACATGAAGTTTTAGTGTGATAATTTATTAGCTAGAGAATGATCTTTTTAGAAGAGAGTAGGTGGATAGTTACGTTAGAGTACGGCAGTATGAAAATTGAATAGAAATTGAAAATGAGCGAAGGGCCATTAATGCGACAGTTTTTTGAAGATACACGCACATCTTTTGCCTAGCCCGTACGATGTACGCGGAGACTTTAAGTACACTGAACCAAAACATCCGCAATACTTCGAATGATTATTGCATTGCTCGAGCCCTTTAACAATATGCATTCGAATTTCAGATGATTTTCTTATGGTTGAATTCGTCGTCAGATGATGAATATCCATATGACTGTCATCCAAATACAGGATGATTTTCGTTTGAAAATAAGCTACAAAACATACGGCACTCAGAGGACAAACATTTAAGAATAGTGTGACATCAAGTGCTTTTAATAAGATTTATAATTTGATTATGTACAATTCCATACTGAAAGCAATTATAAGCCATTCCATCATGGATACAAAAAATTTTCGTGGTGGAGAAAACCTCCTCCACCACGAATTAGCCAAACATTGGTTTTCATGTTTTACCTTTGTTCGTAGCAAGTCTGATAGCGATGTATATGCTTCCACCTCGTTTGTCAGCTCAGATCAGCAAATAAGGTTCGATAGAATTATTTACATCGTCGTTTTGAATGATTTGCGTTATGGGGCTGAACCAATACCATATGCATTTCCATTTAGTATGACAGTCATTCTGCAGAGAGCATTACGCATTTCAACTGAAGGCCCTATCCCTTCTCATAACAAGTTTCATTCAGTATTCGAGAGGAAAATCATCTGATTTCAAAACAACCGTCATCCGGTTGCAACTATCATTCGAAAAAGCGATTTCGGTGTTTTGTTTTGAATGGTCTGAGGTTTCATTCGATCAGAGGATGATGTTTGTGTACAGTGTACTACTGAAATACTTCAAGTATTCTGAGAGTTTAATTTTGTTTCCACATATCGTACTTCGAGCGAAATGGAAAACAAATTAATTTCATGAAAGTGAAATGAATTGGGTTGTTAGTAGAATACTCACAAAATAAAAAAGGTGATTATTTTTCATTTAATTCCCCTTTCTAATTTGTATCCGTGACAGATACGTATTACGACTAAAATATTTTTCAAATAAATACGACAGGGCGGCACAAGGAGTAAGTCGAGGGGTACTTCACATGTAAAATGGCATGTAGATAACAGACAAGATGAACCTCGTTTTTTAGATCAGTGTGCTTTTGTCAGATTTCACATCCTATCTTTCACTGCGTTCGCTGGATCTACTTTTTTGATGCTGCAAAAGATGTGGAAGATTAAAATCGATTTCGAGGTGGATGGCAGAACAGCGGAAATTCTCCATACATTCGAGTGGGAGTACGTAGCGAAAAATTATCAGTGAACAAAAATCTCAAGGGAGCTGTACGTTTAAGATGACGTGTTATTTTATCGTATAGTGATAAATATTATTCCTAATAAAACTTGTATGGTTATTTTGCTTAACGACGTGTTAGAGGTATCATCCAAACCATTTGTGAGATAGTTCTACTATCCGGGTTACCGTTCGATTTTACATCCACGCATTGTCACGTATACGATTTCGTATATTTTCCATAGAAAAAAACTACGGTTCGAGTAAAAACGAGAATATGGGTGATTATCCCGAATACCACTTGCCCGCATGTAAAAAGAACAATCAGTAATTATATTTCTTAACTGGACTACTACTGGTAACACATAATAATGTGTCATTTCTAATATGTTTTGCCTGGAGCTGCAGGAGCTACGATGAGGTTTTTATTGAACATAGAAATTTTCAAGCTAGAAGGTTTTTATTTTTTGCAAAAATACGTTTTGAAAAAATAGTTACTCTACTCTGACTTTTATTAGAAGTGAGTTCCCGACGTAGATATTCGTGTATCAGGTATATTGTTTTAATTACGACGTATTCAGTGCACAATTTCGTCAAGACCGAGATCTACTGCTTCAATCCCCCACTGCAGATGTATCGTTAAGAATCAATACTCAGATCCAGTTCTTTTGTTTTCGTCATGAGCTTCAAACTGAAAATTAAAAATTAAATAACAATACAATAACTGCATATAGACAACACTGCAAGTTTCTTAAGAATGTTGCGTGATATGATTCAACCGTCTCAAGTTGTTTTCGATTACGAAACCGGCTCAAATGATTGAAATCATAATTGTTTCATAACTTTATCACTTGAACAGAAAAAAACTTCGATGAAAACTGATGAAGAAAAATCAAGACCAACAATTGAAATGGCCTTAACTCCATTTTGAGAAAATAGCCTTACAAGGTTTGTTTACAAAATGGAGTTAAGGCCATTTCAATTGTTGGTCTTGAAATGTGATGCAAAATGTAAACATACAACATGGCTTGCTGCTTTTTGACGTTCGGCGATCGGTTCGTTCACGAGAAGATGCGAGCGATGTGAAGAAAGATGAAAGATGCGATATTCGATGGGAGTAGATGTCACAGATGGATACAGATAGTGCACAGTGATTCCATAAATAAAGACTGAGTATGATTTATGATAAAATGGAGATAATCTGGATGTGTCGCCCCCCATCGGAGTAAGTCATTCAGCACATTGCGCCAAAATTAGATTCGGCACAGCGTGGGCACATCCATTGGCACATCCATCGGCACACCTTCGGCACACCTTCAGCACAACCACGTATGAATTGGATTGTTGTGAATAAAATGGGAGCACTGCTGTACAACTGTCATTGAAGATGTTCACAACATTACGTGCTGTTTATTGTATATTCAGGAACATCCTCTAATTGAATATACCAAAGGAACTCTGACCAGCAGTTCCACTTATAGATCTAAATACGAAATGTAGGTTCTAGAGTGGGCTCAAGAGAAAAAGGCCGTAAATCAGACCCCATTAGTACCCTTACTTCAAATACTGCTGCAACTCACACAAAACAAACTACAGAAATCTATTCACCATCTGCCGGAGACGAACCAGCCCAGGGCTGAAAGTCTCATTAATAAAGATATATAAAAAATATAATATTCATCATCCTCTACAGCAGGTCTCCAGCAATGTTCCCCACCGGTTCAAACAATTTCCGGCCGCTGATAGACCGTTGTTTTTCACATCACAGAAGAAGTTTTCTTCTCTGTCTTTGAGGGCATTATAAAACACTAAAACATAGGACTTTTATTATCCTATGAGGCAGCTCCCACATCTAGACCCTACCTACCCATCAACTCATGAACCGGGGACCAACGGCTTTACTTCCCCTACTTCCCCCGAAGGAAGGCGTGATCAGAGATGTTATGCCTCATAACATCCCGGCGGCGCCGACTGAGATTGAACCCAGGCCTGCTGGCGTGAGAGGTAATCACGCTTACCATTACACCACCGGTACCGCTTACCTTTTCTTTGATAATGTTCTAATTTTTTTTTACGATTTACATTAAAATTTTGTTCAAAAAACAAACGAATAAAAGGGATCGAAGTGTGCCCTGCTTCTAAATGGACATGAAAAATTTTCTGCTTTTTGCTCGTATTTATTGTGGTTTTCCAAGTTATATCTGGTGGCGATTTTCCAGCTGATCCTCGATCGTCCTTCAGACACTAGAATAACGGACCTCCACCAAGGGTGTTGATATTGGTTCGCTCGCAACTAGTTTTGCAAAAAAATTAAGTGTTTTCGACCGAAATTGATATCGAAAGTGTATGAGTGTGAAAAGTGTGATCTGTGAAAAACATCGTTACGGTCACAAATTGAATGATTCTTCGGGTCGTTTTACAAGCCGCGAAGTGATTTTTTGGTTCAAATGAGAAAAGGTGATTGAACTACAGTTAGTGCTGATAGGCAAACGCGGTAAAATGAAAAAAGAGAGAACGAAGATCCGTGCGAGCTGTGTGATGAAAAATCAACAATCAATACAAAACTAACGATTTGAAATTGGCTCACTACTTGACTAGCCTATTGGTCCCAAGCAAACGATTAACGTATCCCATTCTTGTCGGAATTCTAGTACTACACTATGTTTGTTTTGATTCGCTATGAAAGTTTGACAGATAAAATGAGAGGTTAGTGGATTATCCTTTGTTTCGAGGGGTGAATCGATTAGCTTGGGACCGAAGCTGAGCCAAAAAGTTGAGCACGTATCTTCGGGACCTACTAGTCTTAGAGTTACCTCTATGGAAAAATAGCGTTTGGCGGAAGAC